CTCAGCTGCTGCGAGTTGCCTGTGAGCGGCTGGCGGCCAGTGCCCACATGACGTGTTCCGACGTCGGTTTTAAGTTCTGGGTCACAAGCACTCAGCACCCCATCGACGATCGACGGTTGCGACCGTTCAACATGCTTGGGTGGGACATGCAATGCCCTCCGCGAGCAGGGTTGAAGGGATCTCTCATTTTTTTGTGTTGCCTTTCAGCACTGGGCCGTGGATGTGGGGAGCGCTTGAGTCCAAATCACCCCAGTTTTCGCAGAGGCCCTGCAGCTGTGGCCGCATGCTGAAGATGATGCAGCTGCCTCAGCTCCGCGCTGTCAGCTTGGCTCCGCAAACTGAGCGCTTAGAAGGTTCCTCTCCGGAATGGTCGGAATGGTCGGGTCCCCCCCTGCATAGCTCCTCCTTGCAAAAATGTGTTAGACGGAAGTTGGAAGCCTAGGGATCCGCACGCCTGGATGTTCAACTCCCAAGGCTCCCAAAAAAGCTTCAAGGGCCTTTGTGTGTGTGTGTGTGTCTCTCTCTGTGTGTGTGTCTCTCTCTTCTCCTTTTTGCTTACATCTTCGAGTTGCTTTTTGTTTTGCCCATTTGGGGCTGCATTTGTGCTCCGAGCTGGTCGGTCCCACGAAGCTTTGCAAAAATATGACCGGCCTAGGAACCTCCAACACCCTGAACCCTAAACCCTAAACCCTATAAACCGGAACCTTCATCAGCCAAAAAGCCTGTACACTTGACAATGAATCACGCCCCCCCCCCCCCCCCCCGGTGCAATTTGGGGTTCCTTAAAGTTTAGGGTTTAGCTGTCTAGACGGGGAACCCCTAAACCCCTAAGCTCTAAACCCTACTAAGCCTACGTGCCTTGAGCCTTGAACTTCCAAGTTTTCTGGTTGTCCGCAGCTTTTGAGCCCCGGGTGGGAGATGCTAGACCCTAAACCCTAAACCCTAAACCCTAAACCCTAAACCCTAAACCCTAAACCCCTCTATAGAGTTTGGGGTGTGAGGTAGAGCTTCCTGTCTTCCGAAAACAAAAGCGCCGTGAGCGATTGCTTCTGGGCGCTGGCGCATGGGCAACGAGGGCAGCCGGCATGTGGCGGAGGATGGGCCCTAAACCCTAAACCCCAAATCCTAAACCCTAAACCCTAAACCCTAAACCGCCAGAAATCCTCTACCTCCCAAGGGCTCTTGGCAGCCCTTTCTTGGGTTTAGGACTTCAGGTTGCAGTTGCAGGTTTGCCTCGACCTCCCTGTACCTTTGAGAAGAATCACCCATCATGGTACACTTAGGCCCTTACTAAGGTGAGGGTTGAGGGTTTAGGGTTTAGGGTGTAGGGTTTAGGGTTTAGGGTTTAGGGGTTAGGATTTCGACTTTTGGTTGGAAAAAATCCGACGCCCTCTTTCAGTGGCTTTGTGTGCTTGTGGGCTTCGGGTTTAGGGTTTAGGGTTTAGGGTTTAGGGTTTTGAAGCCTAAATGCTTGCACTTGTACGCGCACGGTGATATGACTGCATGGAGCATGCTGTACCAGGTCAAACCATTCGCGCGCCGTTCAGAGCCACGCGCCTGCTGCACCCATGTTGAACGGCCACATGCCGCTTCTCGATGGAAGCGGTGGGAAACAGATTAGCGGATTGCGCGTCCTCCGTCAATTTTCTGAAGTAGGATTGTAGGCTGTAGGGTTTTTCAGTTGTGCTTCTTACGTCACCCTAAGCGGAACTTGTTACAGAGCACACTTACGCATGCACCTGACCCGAAGCCCTAGAATGCGCTACTTGCCTGAACTCCGCAACCGATGCCTGAACCCTAAACCCTAAACCCTAAACCCTAAACCCTAAACCCTAAACCCTAAACCCTAAACCCTAAACCCTAAACCCTAAACCCTGCTTCGCAGCACCTCGGGCCGAACGTCGCCGTCTGCCTCAAGAGCAGTCAGGCACACAGAGTCGAGTGTCGAGTTTAGGGTTTAGCGCTTAAGGTTTAAGAGGAGAATTTCAGGCATTTCAGGGTCTACTAAAGATGAGGGCTAACCACGACATGTCATTTGGGACAGAGGGACAATAAGGAGCCGTCGTGAGTTCTGAGAAAGAGCGGGATGATTAGACATTCGCCCCAAACAAGCTGAACCATGGAGGTTCAATCACCAGAAAGCGTTGAGGTACGGATTCTGAAAAGATCCAGGGCAAAGCCCCTTAATCCCGAAACCTGAAAGCCTAGGCCCTAAACCCTAAATCATGGGAAACCTCTCGGGCGCTAGCGGGCTCAGGACGGCAAGGCTTGGGGTCCTAAACCCTAAACACCGGAGAGCAGGTTCGGGCTTGCCTCTCTGCGGTACGGATGCGCCCGAGCCAGAGCACTGGCAGCAGGCCGGGTGTCAGAAAGAAGAAAACGTACGGTTTGGGGTTTAGAGTTTAGGGTTTTGGGTTTAAGGTTTCGGGTTTCGGGCTTGGGGTTTCCGCTTTTTGGGGGTCCCGTTGAGGGGATTCTAGTCCATATGAGGTATAATTGGGGTACCCCTTTTTTGGGCAATGCCCATATCACGGTTCTGTTGCAGTAAAGTGTATCCCTAAACCCTACACCCTAAACCCTACACCCTAAACCCTAAACCCTAAACCCTAAACCCTAAACCCTAAACCCTAAACCCTAAACCCTGTATCTGGACCAGGCGCTGACACTGGCACACTTGGGGGGGAGCGGGGGAACGATGCTAGGTGCAGCTACGGGTTCCTTTAGGGTTTAGGGTTTAGGGTTTAGGGTTTAGGGTTTAGGGTTTAGGGTCTAAAGCTACGAGCTTCCTTCTTGATTCTGGATACTGAGGAAGCCAGAAGCCCCCAAGCCCGAAACCCCAAGCCCTAAACCCCCCGCATGTAATATAGGGGTCGGAATATTACCCTACACCCGAACCCCCAAAACCCTATTCTAATTATTAAGGCCCCCGCATGTACGCCCCTAGTCAGGGTTTCGAGGCTTAAAGCTCCCATGGACGCGCGAGGTCCTCGCACATCTACAGCTGCATGTGGGAGACCTTGAACCTTGATTGGGTTTAGGGTTTAGGGTTTAGGGTTTAGGGCTTAGGGCTTAGGGCTTACGGTGTAGGGTTTAGGGTTTAGGGTTTAGGGTTTAGGGTTTAGGGTTTAGGGTCTAGGGTGTAGCATTGATCAGCTGTACGCAATTGTGTGCAGACATGCCCACCCCAAGACCGCCCGAACACTACGCAAAACGAGCCAAACCAGAGCCAGCCAAACCAAAGCCAGCCCACATCGAAACACTTCTGCACTCAACGCTGTACTTCGGACTAGCATCTAGCACACGTCCTTATGTCATGGAGCTTGAAGCTTTGTTGCAAGGTGATATCTGAGAAGATGCCTTGGAAAAGATGTTAGATTTCGAGCTTTCGAGAGAGATAATTCGGATTTTGCATTGGGAGACGTTTTCGCCGGAGGGCCTTCTCATTGTTTCATTCTCGACGTCGGGGCATCTAGGCTGCATGGCGACAGGCTTGTTGCTATAAACACGCCTTGTGAAAATCATGTTTAGAAGCTTGCGAGAGCCAAATTAGCGTTTGCGTTGGGGGGTGTCTTCGGCCGGAGGGCCTTCTCATTGTTTCTATTCTCGACATCGGGATGCCATGGTGTTACTATAAGCAGGCTTTGTGAAAGTCATGTCTAGAAGCTCACCAGAGCCAAATCAGAAAAGACCCTTTGCTGGAAAGATCTAGAAGGCCAAATCAGCGTTTGCGTTGGGGGATGTCTTCTGCCAAAGGGCCTTCTCATTGGTTTTTGAAGGCCACATGGCGACAGACCTGCCTGGGCTCGCGAGCGGCCTTTGGGCCCACGACCCTTCAGGCCTTTTTAGGGGAGGCTTTCAGGAGCCTTGCAGGGTTTGCACCCAAGGCCTTCCAAGGAGAGGTCGCAGGCCTCCCAGAAACCTCCTTGCAGGGGCTTCCCAGGGCCCTGCCCGAGAAGGCTTTCCCCGAGAAGGCTTTGAGGGGCACTTCAGAAACCTTCAAGGGGCCTTCAGGGCCTTTCAGAACCGTCCCGGGCCTTTCAAGAAGCCTCGAGGTCCAACAAGGCCGTGTCGGGAGGGCCTCCAGAGGGTCCAAGGGGCCCTCCAGGGGGGGTCCAGGCCAGGGTTGGGGCGGGCCGCGTCAGAGCACAGGGTCGGGTTTAGGGTTGAATATACATACAGTCACTGAGCTAGGCGACTGTAGCCTGGCGACCCCCCAGGGGGAGGGGTGCGGTTGGCAGGCTCTGCAGCTCAGCAGAGCAGAGCCTGTCATGGTCTCGCTGAGCGCTCGACGCCGCCCACTCACCTCCAGAATGAAAGGGGTGGTGGGCGGGTTTGGGGTTTCGGGTTTCGGGTTTAGGGTTTAGGGTTTAGGGTTTAGGGTTTAGGGTTGAGGGTTGAGGGTTTAGGGTTTAGGGTTTAGGGTTTAATTAGGGTTTAGGGTTTAGGGTTTAGGCGCTAGCACGTGTCGTTGTCACGCTTCTGGGATATCACGAGGCAGCTTTGGCCCCAAGACCTTTGTCAAGTTCACCCCCCCTAACCCTAAACCCTAAACCCGAAACCCAAACCTTAAACCCTAAACCCTAAACCCTGAACCCGGGGTGCTCGCCTTGCTTTTGTGCAGCTTGCAGGGGTCATGAACCTTCGACTGGTTCATGCGCGTAACTCCCTTCTTTCCATTTCAGAACCAGGAAGAAACTAAACCCTAAACCCTAAACCCAGAACCCTAAACCCTAAACAATAAACCCCAAACCCTAAACCCTAAACCCTGAACTAACCTAGTTGCGGTTCTGGAGTCTCTCTGGGTTCGCCAGGGGGAGCTTGAAAAGCGCATATGGAAAGGGTTTAGCGTTCAGGTTGCGGCCCGCAGGCCCTGAAGGCTAAACCCTAAACCCAAAACCCTAAACCCTAAGCCCCAAGCAACCCCCAAGCCCCAAACGCCGCAGGGCTCCCCAAAGTCATCACTCAGCTCCAATGCCTGGCAATCTGGGTCCCCTGAGCCC